ACTTGAACTTGATAATGCTGATAAAGATGATCTCTCTTTCATGTAATCAGCTGCATTGAAAAAAATCTTCGTGAGTCCTAAAATTGATCGGCGTCCGCATCATCCCATTGCCTAGGAGGTAGCATGACAGTCAGATGCTGCTGAACGAAGGCACAAATGTCAGGGCTAAGAGAGACCTCCCTCAAAGATGAGAAAATCCAACTCGCTCATTTTCCTAAGTCTTCTGTATCAGTGGGCAGTGTCTGAAGTGCTCAGCATAGATAGAGCTCGGCCACAGGAAGTGCTTAGCCAGTGTTCACTGTTAATGTTATTACTCGAGGTCACATAGTTAGCTCTTGGCAGGACCAGGAGCAGAACCATGGTTCCAAGGTGCCATCCGCTGCCTTTCGCTCTGGCCCATTTTTCGTCATGCATATCACCATCTGATACAGTCTAATGGATTTGTTTTGCTTCTTGTCTGTGTCCCACCATAGAATATAAGCTCCGTGAGAGCAGGGACTTTGTCATCTGGTTCACCCTGCATCCGGAGCATGGCATACAGAGGAGCTCAGTAAGTAGTTGCTGAATAAAAGAATAAATAAATTTAGAGGCCCGCAGGTAAACCTGTTGAAGAGTTGAGAAGGGAAAGGAAAAAAATGAATGTTTATGGGGCACCTGCTTTTAAGATGGTTTACTTATGAATGTTATCTCAGCTCACAACAGTGGAGTGGTGAGGAGAACACTGCTGTTCCCGTGTAATGGTGAAGAGCATGGGGCTCAGAAGTTGGGTAACTCAGATCTATGTGCCTTCAAAGCTCATGCTATCTTCACTACTATAGTACCTCCCAATTAGATCAGATCTACGAATTTTCATGAAAAGTTCCTTCATTCTAAATGTTGATCCTATGATGTTTATTTTTTTCATTTTTTTTTACACTTTCCTTTAGGGGTGCCTGGATGGCTCAGTTGGTTGAGCAGTCAACTCTCAATTTTGGCTCAGGTCATGATCTCAAGGTCCTGGGATTGAGCCCCACATGGGCTCTGTGCTCGGGGGTGGGGGTAGGGGGAGGCTGCTTGAGGATTCTCTTTCTCTCTCTCCCTCTGCCCCTCCCCCCGCTCGTGTGCTTGCGTGCTCTCTCTCTAAATAAATAAATCTTAAAGCACACACAAACACACACATACACACACAAACCAACTTTCCTTTAAATCTAATCCCTGAGGCACCTAGGTGGCTCAGTCCATTGAGCATCCAACTCTTGGCTTTGGCTCAGGTCGTGATCTCATGGGTCATGGGATCGAGCCCCACGGCGGGCTCCCCACTCAGCAGGGAGTCTGCTTGAAGATCTGCTCCTTCTGTACCCCCCCACTCTGTCTCTCTCTCAAATAAATAAATAAATCTTAAAAAAATCCAAAAACTAATCCCTGAAAAAACCACATTCTATAGGAAAGCATGCTATCTACTAGAGCCCCTGCGCACTGTAGGAAGGCAGCTTGGAGTGGCAGGCACAGTCCTTGATTTGGTTTTACGGGATGTGGAGCCCAGGCCTTCCAGTGACCACCAGAGGTGTGAGTCTTAGTTCCTTATCCATAAAATAGTGACGTTAATAGCTGCCTACCTACCAGACAGAGTTGGTAAGAGATAATGTATATAAAGCACCTAGCTAGCCCTGTGCTTCATCAAAGAAAGTGGCCATTAAATGTTAACCACTATTATTGTTACTAATTCTATTAGTGTTATCCTTATTAATAGTAATCATAATGCATACTTTCCTCAGAAGGGAAATACTTGTGAGCTTGTGTCTTGTCTGTGGTCCTACCTGGGATGGAGTTGGGGAGCCTGGAGTCATAGATTTTTTTTTTTTTTAAGATTTTATTTATTAATTTGACAGAGACACAGTGAGAGAGGGAACACAAGCAGGGGGAGCGGAAGAGGGAGAAGCAGGCTTCCCGCTGAGGAGGGAGCCCGATGCGGGGCTCGATCCCAGGACCCCGGGATCATGACCTGAGCTGAAGCAGACGCTTAACGACTGAGCCACCCAGGCAGCCCCTGGAGTCATAGATTGATTCCGCCTAAGTCTTTACTTTAGCTGGGACCCATGACCACAGACTGCCAACCAGCTTCTGTCAGCCACCTCACCGAAGCATGTGTTTGCTCAGCGAAGGGGGCTTGGCTTGAGAGAGTGGATGGATTACATCAAACCCATCACCACTTTTGGAAAAATAACCTAGATGCTAGTAACTTTTAACAGTTTTGTGATGCCTTTTATGTTTTCTGGGTGTTTCCATGTGTGTCAGGTCATTTTTTCTCGTGTATGAGAAAAATAATATACTTTGTGGAGGCAACTTGATGTGCTTTCCCACAGCTTTGGCACTTACTGCATGTTCCTGGGGAAGTTACTTACCTTTGGGTGCCTCAATATCTTCAACTGTGGAATGCAGTAGAAAGTTCTCATTAAGATTAAGGAGCTAACGTATGTAAAGTGCCTAGGACAATAAGTGACACGTAGTAAGTGCTCAATATTAGAAGCTATAATGGAGTGCACGATTTCTTTCTCATTAAAATCTTTTTAAGTGTTCTTGAAGGAACTGTCATTTATTAGGCATCTACTGAATGCAAAGTGTTTTCACATACTTTCATCCTTTTTCACATATTCCAGTTAATTCTCACCTGAGCCTCAAGAAACTTGATCAGGGCCACACAGCTAACAAGTGGGGCTGAAGTGAATGTTCAGGCTTCTGCTTTCCAGCTGTCTGCTTTTCCTAGGTTACTGCCATGCCCCGTACACCAGTTGACAATCCTAGAGCTGGTGGTGGTGTCTTCAGGGAAACGTGCAAGCGTCAGGGAATATGTACCTGCCTCTATCAAACAACTTTTGATTTTTAAAAGAAATGATATTGCTGCATTTGTCTAGTATTTGGAATTGTTTAAAATAACACTGAAACACTTCTGTAAGTTTGATTCAACGCTATTACATTCAACTTTATGGAAGAACATAACCGAGTGAAACTTATGACCTTGAGTCACTGACCATGGGGGTTTGTTTGTGTCCCTGCCTTTTTTCAGTTCACTTGGAGATCTTGACTTTGGAGGCCAGTACTCACCTGCAATTCGTGTTTCTGTTATGTTTCACAGCTGAAATGTTACTCTAGGCCAGTAATTCTCAAACTTAGGTGGGCATCAGTCTCCCCGAGGGCTTCTTGCAGCACAGATTGCTGGCCTCATCCCAAAGTTTGAGTCAATAAATTGAGGGCACCCATAATTTGCATTTTTTCCCATGTGATGCTGATATGGTGGTCTGGGTACCACATTTTGAGAACCAGTGCTCTGGACCAGGAATTGACAAACTTCTGTAAATGACCAGACGGTAAATATTCTAGGCTTTGTGGGGCGTACAGTCTCTGTCACAAATACTCAACTCTGCCGCTGTGGCTCGAAGGAGCCATAGAGCATCGTAAGTGAATGAGTGTGACTGTACTTACAGGCATTGAAATTTGAATTTCATATAATTTCACATGTTACAAAATACTATTTTTCTTATTTCTTTTTTGCCCACTTATAAATGTAAAAATCATTTTTAGGTTGCGGACTGTACAAAAACAGGCAGCAGGCCAGATTTGGCCTTTGGGCTATAGTTTGCCGACCCCTGACATGCAATTGTGACATGCTGGGGAATTTTCAAGCTATTGTTTTAATTATAAAAGTAATGCATGCAGGTGGATAGTTTAAAAAATCTAACAGTGGGGCTCCTGGGTGGCTCAGTCATTAAGCGTCTGCCTTTGGCCCAGGTTATGATCCTGGGGTCCTGGGATCGAGCCCCGCATCGGTCTTCCTGCTCAGCGGGAAGCCTGCTTCTCCCTCTCCCACTCCCCCTGCTTGTGTTCCCTCTCTCACTATGTCTCTCTCTGTCAAATAAATAAATAAAATCTTTTAAAAAGTTAAAAAATAAAAAATCTAACAGTATAGAAGAAAATAAAATGAATCAGGAAGACTTCCTCCCCACCCCAGGCCTAATCACATGGCCCAAAAATAACCACTATTGATGAATATCAATTTTCAGAAATTTTATAGAGATTTACAAGCTTATATAAATGTATACATTCTTTCTTACATCAGTGGACTTTTTATACATATTGTTCAGCTTTTGTCTTTTCCCTAATAATGTATTGTGGCCTGTTTACATATCAACACATAGAACTAAATGCTTTAGCTTATTCTCTAATAGCTTCATAGTTTTCTGTGTAGATATACCATACTATATTTCACCAGTCCCCCACTGAGGGACATTTGCATTATTCCTCATTTTTTTCTACCACAAAGTGAGGGTATGTCTTACATCCATTATTGCATAATATCTGCAAGGTAAGGTCCTAGGAGATGAGTTGCTGAGTCAAACGATACACGCATTTAAAATTTTGATAGCTATTTCTAAATTCCTGTTGTGGGCACTTTCGGACCCTACATTCATTTTGCTTCAGGGTCACACCCTACATTTCTGGTTTTTAGTCTTTATCTGACTTGAGCATTCATCATAGTGAATTTTGGTATAATGGCTCGCTGCACGTGAACTTAACACAGAGTAGTAATCCTATCAAGGGCAAAAAGTGCAGCTGGCCATTTGCCCATGGTTCTTGAAAGGAAAATGGCTTTAAAGAATATAAAGCCACCCAAGCAGTGCCCTGAATCTAGGGTCATCCTGGACATTGCTGGGGAAGGTACCACAGCAGAAATTGTTCTTTTCGCAGACCTGGTACTTAGCGGATGCTTCTATATGTTTGTTTCCCATCAGAGTGGAGTTTTCCATTGTCAAACATTTATGTAAACATAGTATTAGCCAATAAATGTGCTGTGCTATTATTGTACTAGAACTCAGGATATCACCGTTTTCCTTTCTATTTGGGGCTTTTCCTTTCTTAGCCACTAAAGGATTAGGACAATGATTTAACAGACAACAATGCAACATCTTAAAATATAGCACTGTGTTAGGTTTTTTAACTTAAAATATGCCCATTTCTGCTCATAGGTTGTCACAGAATTTTCTCTTCACCACTCAGTCATATCTACTTACACAAGCAGTCCAGCAGTCAACAAAGAAGAAATTTCTTTTTCCGGAGACAAAGAGAGATTTCCCACAGTGTAGTTTTGCCAGCTGCAGTTTCTTCAGCTCACCCAGTCCCTGAGGTACCGTACTGCCCTATTATCTGCTGCTTTTTCCAGCCAAGATGCAGCTTAACCGCAGAAGCGATCAAATGTCTTTGCACCTTTGATTTCTGAGCCATTTGAATCATGATTTTTAAACTTGGTTTGTGATCTAAAATCGTCATTTGAGAAGCTATAACATCCGCAGTTCTATAACATTATTATTATTTTTTTTAAATAAAGCTCTGGGCTTACCGCTGCGTAGCTTATTTAGAATTAGTTTCTACCACGAAATTTTCTACATTAAATTTCTAACACAAAGGTAAAAGCACATGTCTACAGTTTCTTAACTTTTTTAGAGAAAAAAATTGACTGTTAAACTGGGATCATTCAAGAGAGATTACTTGGAACTGGTACACTAGATGTTATTTCCTAAGCCTGCTTTCAGACTCTCCATAGTATTAATGCTGCTGTTTGGAACGCTCCTTTAGAGTAAGGAAATAAAACCTCTCGCCTCAGAGTGTTCTTGATTTTTTTCTCAGAGACTACAATTCTCTGGAAAGACAATCTATCCACGTTCCAAAATGCAAAATAAAGGAGGCATGCGGGTCATGTAGGAAGAACGAGAATAGCTGAAAGAAGTCTAGCTTTGTCACAGAAGTCACTTACCTTCTCCCTTTGAGGCATTTTTTTAACAGTGAACCCACATTAAGTATATTATACTCCCTGAAGGTGAGTGGCCCTTTTTGTGTGTGTGTGTGTGTGTGTGTGTGTGGAAAGGGGCCAATGAGACAGGCTACCAGAGCCCAGAGGGTGTTCCTGGTGTTTCCTTGGTGGCAAAGGAAAGGAAGTCTCCAGAGAGATGAATATATTGTTTTAGAATGTCAGTGACAACCCAGGAGCCCCTCTGCCTGTGACTGCAACCTGGCCGCGTCACAGAGCAGAGTGGAGACAGGAGCACGGTCTGGGGCGGAGACTGGGCGAGCTTTCGAGGGCACTGGTGGCCAGGCTGTAGGAGTCGATGCCTGCCCCGAGCTCAGCCGTGGCCACCCAAGCCCTGGCGTGCTCTGGATCAGAAGGGCCCATCTGAACACAAGAGGTGAAGGTCTTACAAGTGAAGTGCGATGCGCTTCACAAAGAGCGGACCCCTAACCTCAGCCCTGCCAGAGTCACTGTGATGTCAGTTGAAGAGTCTTGTCTCCCTCAGCTTCCTGTCCCCAACTGCTGTGTACCCTTTCCTGGGTACGGCTCCACAATGCTTATGTGGCAGTCTCCATAAATAGATTGTAAAGAGCTGAGCACAACCTTGGGACTGAAAGAAGCTCTGTGTGTAAAATAGTATTTATTTTCTGAATACTTCCCATAGGTTTAAGGAAGCAGTGGAGAATGTTCTACAGGGTGATCAGAGTGGAATGTTTTGAGTTTGGGGCGTTTCTTTGTTTGTTTTTGACAAATGATGGAAATGTTCTAGGTATTTTTTTTATGTACTTAAAAAAAAGAAAGAAACAAAGACAAAGAAAAGAAAGCTGTTGGGTTTTGTTCTCTAGTCCCTTCTTAGTTTGGGTACAGTTGCCGAGTGCAAGAAAAGTGTATACGTAATAGGCTTCAGTGGACTTGAGAGTCAGCCTTTTACATATATTCATTCGGAGAGGGTGTTGTGAGCTATCCTTTGCATAAATTTTATCTTTGTGTTAAGAAGATGAAAGTGCTCTTAATTAGCCATTTGGCAATTTGGAAGCTTGGTGCTCTTTTTTCCATCAACGGCTAGAATGCTTCTCACAGGGTTGGGAGGAGGAAGAAAAGAAAACTACTGTTTGTTTTGACCAGAAGTCTACTTCAGACCAGTTTGACTCAAAGCAGAGTAAGGTTAACAGACCATCCAGAGGCAGCACTAACAGGCAATGTTAAGTTCAAAAGGGCAGGGGAAGGAACTGGGGGCAGCCTGGAGGGTCTGTCGTGCTGGCTTCGGAGGTCGGGGCTCCGGCAGGAAGGGCAGAGCTCCATGAAGCAGGAGGCTGTGTCCGAAAAAATGATCCCATTGTCGTGTGCTGGGTTCTGATCTTCATTTTCAATCCTTTTTCCTCAAGCACATAAAGAAGCCAGACTATGTGACGACAGGCATTGTACCCGACTGGGGAGACAGCATAGAAGTGAAGAATGAAGATCAGATTCAAGGGCTTCGTCAGGCTTGTCAGCTGGCGCGACATGTCCTCCTCCTGGCTGGGAAGAGTTTAAAGGTGGCGTCTCACCAAGCCTCAGAAGGACATACATCAGGGGCAACAAACCCTCCTCTTTTCCCTCTCTCCCTTTCACTCATCTTGTGTACACATCTAATTTGTTAAAAAATCAAGTCAAGCCTTGGGATGGGGGAAGGGGATTTCATTATTTTGTGTGTTTATTCTAGAGGTAACTTAAAATCCAAATTAAATTTTAAGTAGCAGGATTCTGGAGATACTTTGGGCCCAATCAGCCTATCCAACTTGATCAATGGCAGACAGCTTTGACTTCTGTCCCCTTATTCCTGCCTGTATTTTCTGCTTTTACTGCCCACATTATTTCTGGGTGCCTGAAGAGTTGTTCTCCCTTATCCTTTGTCTCCTTTTTCCTTGCATTAGCTCTGCAAAGCAAGATTAGAGCATATACACAAAGCTATGGGTAATATAGAAATGTAATTACGGACAACCAGAATAATCTGAAACACTCTGCTTTATAAGGATCATTAAAAAAAAAAAAAAAGTATGGGCCTGTAATTTCCAGATGGTGGGCAGAATTTAGGAAGTGAGTCTCTTTGGTGAAATCACTTAAGAGTTTCATGTAATAAACTTGTTATAGCAACATAACTAAGCATAATGTGAATATCAACGCAAAGAAAAATATTGAAGAAACAGGTAATTTTTAATAAAAGGTTTTGTTTTAGAATTTTACCTATGACTTATGAGTTTATGGCAGTATCTTCGTGTACTCATAAAACTCAATTTTAGGGTTTTTTTTTTTTTTTTTAGTTTGAGAGCAATTGGATGCCTCCTAATAAGAGAGAAATACTTTTTAAGAACACAGTGGATTTACTTAGGTCTGAAAGAAAGCAAGATTCGTGAAAACCAAATTTCTACAATATGTATCAGACTGAGTTTTTAAAATAATGATCCATAATCTTCCCATCATTGCTGCAAAACCCATGCAAGGTTTCACTGAGATAAAAAGGTGTGGGTCGACCTACTTTTTCAAGCTTTGTCATCTAAACTGAAGCTACTTTTGAGAATTTATTTATATGCTTCAGCTAGCCTGAGGCACTAACCCTTGAGGAAGAGGAAGGAATTGCTTAGGAACATATTTGTGAAGTGTTCAGGCTCAAAAGGAATCATGTCATTTAATGACTCACAGATAATTTAAAGGATCTTAGGGCTTACAACTTCCATTTCCTCACAGCCCATAACACCATCATATACCCAAATGACTGTCAAAAAGGCACAACTTAAATATTTCAGGTTAATTGCCATTAATCAAAATGTTCTATCACAAGTTTATCACAGTAAATCTGGACAGTCTCATCTGAGAGTGCTGTAGCTATAGACATGGTCAGCGAGGGCAGGAAATGTCTTCAACTGTTGCTGCACAATTTCTTTATTTAATATTTTAGGTTGACATGACAACTGAAGAGATAGATGCTCTTGTCCATCAGGAAATCATCAGTCATGATGCTTATCCCTCACCTCTAGGCTATGGAGGTTTCCCAAAATCTGTTTGTACCTCTGTAAACAACGTGCTCTGTCATGGTATTCCTGACAGGTATTTATTGCTTAATAACATATTGTTCCTTTGGAAACTAAAACATGAGACTGAGATCTCTAACACATGTTGAAAGACACTAGCTTAATTGAAACCCACCTGCAAACTTGTGAAGCTGATTAGGGTAAAACAAAAATTTTGAAGTATTTTGCTTCTAGGTGGACATAATTTAATGTTTGTTAAAGGAGTGTGTAATCCAAAAAGGTCATTGTTCCTTAAATATTTCTTTTACCTTCTTAGATTTTAACCATATAAATGGTAAAAATCCAAATGTAGGCAAATACAGGTTATCAACTATTGTTTCAGCTCTTTGCAAAATTAAGGTAACTGATAAGTACATTTTTTAAAGAATTTTTAAAAGATTTTTAAATAATGGCAATATGTTCATACTCTGTATTTCTTGTAAAATTGGATGTGACTGATGTAACTTAAAGACTAGATATAGTTTTTCCATTTATTCCTCTTCTACTCTGAATTATCATTGCAATTCACTGGCTTGTGTATTTATTTTTACATTCCTCTTACTGAGATCTGTCTGTCACCATTTTTATTCCGTTTACATTTCAGCCGACCTCTTCAGGATGGAGATATTATCAACATTGATGTCACGGTGAGTAAATAATATAAAAAATAGTCTGATCAACTTGAGAATTGCTGGTAGCACCAGGAAGAATTGTGGCTTGAAAATGCAAGCCGCACCAAGGGAAGTGCTGTTTACTTCTAGACCCAGACGCAAGCAGCTGGTTTCCTTTTTTGTCTTTAACTCCGTGTTTATTCCAAGTAAACCCAGGCCTGACTTGAATTTAGGGCTGGAATCAGATGCACTGAGATCAATGTTGGCCTAAGTGAAATGTCAACCCAATCCTGCTATGTGTCATGTTTTTGAGAAGGTGTAATTGTTATTGATCCACTGTGTAGTTAATGCAGAGGCACCACAGCACTGGGCAGCTGCTGAAGCTGGATATGTATGAGATGAGCTAACGCGAAGAAAGCCAGCATTTTTCCTTCACTCTGCCAAGATTGATCTTCCTCTTCCTGCTGATTTTGAGTGGGGCCTGTCATTATCTTACTCTGTCATTAGGGGCTACATTGGCCTGTGTGTCAGTCTATTTGGACAGCAACTCTTTTGCTAGCAGTGTTCCTTAGATTTAGTAAAATCCCTGAAGGTAACGTCGTGTTCCATTTGTGGCAGAGAGGGTCTAGAGAGCCTTGAACTCGGAGCATACGAGCAGAATGCTTTTCTCTCTGAACCTAACTTTTTACCGCATGGTTAACAGCCTTTCTTTTAAATAACAACCCAAAGTGATTTAACACGGGAACTTCAAATTGTACAAGCTCTAACCTTTTCTAATTCCCTCAGCCTTTCACTATTCTCAGACTTGGATTACTTGCTCTTTGGCAGTTCATTTCACTAAAAAAGTGTGTAATGGTCCCTTTGGATTATGTAGATTGTAAATAAATTGTATACATCTGATGATTAATAAATAAGGTTTAAATACGTAAATAAAATTTAATCATCTGATGAGAACTAGTTGCGATAGACACCATTCAAGGAGTATAGCTTCTGTGGATGAGGAAGTATTTTCCATAATAGTTATTTTGTATCCACACCGTGAATTAAGGTAGGCGAGAGAATGAGGTGGAAATTGGCATCCGATAGTTGAGTTCGGCCAGATTTTTAGTTGTTTAAACTAACTCACCCTCTTTTCTTCATATCAGTTTGTATGGTGACATAGCCAACGATTCCTGTATTGCTGCTTCTCTTTCATACACCATTTTGTCCTACTTAGAATACTTGAACATTTGCTCCACATATATTCTGTCGGTTTATCTTTCCAACTCAGAGTCATGAAGGAAGAGGTATTTTATGAAGTATACCTGAAGTAAAGTATTTTTCCTGATATACTTTTCTTTCAAATTGTAACTGATTTGGGGGTTGTACATTTATTATCTCACCTAATCACCCCCTAATAAAATATTGCTGCTTTGAATGAAATCAGCACACTCTTTGCTACTGCTCCCAACGCATCCAAAGAGAATATTCCATGCCTTTTCTGTTTCCTGAAGACTTTTAGTACATTTTTAACATTCAATTATTTCACAGTTGCAAAACTCATAAAGCAATGTGAAATACTTCAAGTGTCTAGAAATATGAAGGAGTCAAGAAAACATATTGGTCACTATCTTAATAAATTATATATTTTTTACCCCTCCCCACAAATTACATTCCCTGTGAGATATGTTATTAAGTGAAAGACTCCATTATCAGATCCTATACTTTTATCAGAAAATACTCATTATGCATTTTATAATTGTTTATATCTAGTATATACCACAAGAAAACAGACTTCTTTCCCCCTTGAAAGTTGAATGTTAAAAAAACAGACTGTGAGATGCCTAGAGTAGTTGCTCAATAAATTTGTTTAATAAATGAAGTACAAAACAAGAATACTTGGTGAGCATAAACCCTAATTATAGATAACTGCCATAGACTTTCAGAAGTATTGTTATTCTCATATATATTGAATCTTTCACATATTTTGAAAGCTAGCAAAAAGTAATGTAAAAAGGCAAATAAAGATTTTTAAAAATATTTTTTGCTTAAATAACAGTTACATAAACACTGAATTATACATTTTTAAAACACACTTATATTAGTAACTGTAATATATTTGTGTATAAAATCAAACTTGTACTTTCTTGGATTGCAAATAGGAAAAAATATATAAAACAGTATTCTATTGCAAGGTAATTAAGGTCATTTGACATAGTAGAGGAAACATTTGATTAGAAGCCAATAATCCATCATGTTAATCTGGATCTACCTCTGTATTTTGCCACCAGCCTTAGACAAGTTACCTGTTTATGCCTCAGGTTGCTGACTTATAAAGTGAAGACTGAATAAAAACTTTTCCTGCTTCCCTTACAGGGTGTAGTAGAGTATTTTTTTGGTGCAGAATAGTATACAGATTTAAGACATTAACTCAGTATTAAGATAGACAGAAAGCTCAGCTAAATACAGCTAAATATCTTTTTTTTATAAGTTTCTACATTTTACTTTATGAGAAAGAGAAATGTGAAGAACAATTACATAGGTAAAATTTATGCAAAATAGCAAATTCCATGCTATATCTAAGGATCAGTATTCAACCAGTCCCTTCTACCTTCTATATATATTATACTGTTTGTTAATTATTGATTTTTTATAATGAATCTGGTGTCTTTCAAGATCCTATTGGGCCTACTGAATCATTGACAACTGATAAAATTTTTTTTTCTGTAATTTTATTCTTAAGCCTATTTTGTTATATTTTAATCCTTTAAAAACCCATGTATAGTGTTTTCTGTTAACATTCTGCTATCTGGACCATTTGACTAAGGTTTCACTTCCAGACAGGATCTTTCCCTAACATATTTCATTCCCATATTGAGCCACTTCAACTCTTGGAACGAAATTCTCCTACTGTCTAATACTGACAAGTCTATTTTATTTCTTCTTCTTATTGTCTATCACTTCCAAATGTAGGATTGGTAAATGAAAGATCAAGTATCTTCATGACACTGAAGAAACTTTTCACTATGTTAAATACTTCTAGGTTCTCTAGAGCTATTGTAGTAATTGTGGGTCAATGTCTTTGGTCACTCATTTATGCATGTATAGTTTTGTCTTCTCAGAAATAAAATGAAGAATCAAAACATTATACTAGCATTGCTAATCATAATGCTGAAACAGCCATTCTAGTTACGTATTTATTTTTAGATTTTGTAATATCATCATATGGTTCATCTTTTTAATTTCTGTAAGGCTTTAGCATATCCTTTTTTTTTTTTTGTAGGGAAATGAGAGTAATTCTGGAAGGGTGAAACATATGAATCTACTAAATACATAAATGAACACAATATATACTTTCGGAAAGTACGGTTTTAAACAAGGACATATTTTAAAATGTTTGCCTGTGTTTAGGTCTATTACAATGGCTACCATGGAGACACGTCCGAAACGTTTTTGGTGGGCAATGTGGATGAGTGTGGTAAAAAGTTAGTGGAGGTTGCCAGGAGGTGTAGAGATGAAGCAGTTGCAGCTTGCAGAGCGGGGGCTCCCTTCTCTGTAATTGGAAACACAATCAGGTAAGCCTTACATTGACAAGTAAAGGGAGGGTTGGCAAATGGTACAAATTATTGGTAGCTTGGTATAAAGTTGATGACATGTTTTATGATTCAGGACCATCATTTCAGTCTGATATCAGTATGTGAACTGCCAAGCTGCCGTGTTGTTCCCTGGGTTTAAAAAAAGAGAGAGAGAGAGATTTTAAAACAGTGAATTATACTAGGGTCAGCAGGAAACTTACAGGAGCAGCAAGCAATATTTATGACTGCTTTAGTTTTAGCTCGACATATTGGTCTGTAGTGTTCCTTTACCCAAAATCACACCAAACATGGAAGAAAGTACCTAAGAAGGGGATAAGCATCCCAACTCTTGGATAATGAAACAGGAGAAAAGCTAAATTTTATAAGGAATGAAGTGAAACATATTCCTGTGATACAGAGATTAAAAAAACATTAGCTCAAGCAAGCCTTACCTTTCAAATTAGTGGATTAGCAAACAGGCTGAAAGGGTGAGCTTATGTCCTTTTCTTGTCTGGTTCATTTTTTTCCCTGTAAACTATTGTTTATTTTCCAAACAGTATTCTATGCTTGCTTTTTGAGTATATGTGTATTTTCTGAATTCAAGACTTTTCCTCGTAATCTGTTACCTCCTTTTAGATCTTTTCTTTTAACCCCCATAACTGTTTTGAAGTAGACATACAGAATATGTGTTTTCATTCAAAAGTAATACATTGTGTTAAAGATGATCACATCAGTACCTTTTAAAGTACTGTTCTCATTAATATGAACCATTGAATACTTCCCGTTTGTCTAAAGGATGGAAGGCTTAGTCACCTTGAAAAGATGCTGCCTTTTTTCTTCGTAAGCCCTCAAATACTTTAAGAAAAAAGGCAGTAAAATATCAGTTAAATGTATGTATGGCTTTAAAAATATTGTAACAATGTCTGAGTCAAACTTTAGTAAAATCTCTTTGGGTTATATCTGAGAAGCTTTTATTGAAGACTTTGAACAAAATTGTGTTTTTGACAGTTTTAAATTATAGGCTAACTAGCCTGGGAAAAAAGGATAGTGTCTCTCTGTTCTTTCATAGGAAATGTTGAATCAGACCCCTACTGGGAAGAGAAATTTAATGCATATCTCACTATCTTACTGTCCATGAATATAATAGAAATGAATTCAAAATGCAGTTTTATTTTTGCAAATGGGATGAGTCGATAGATGTATCTCATATTTTTGAACACCTAGGGTTCAACAAATTTACTGGTGGTGCTCTTGCATTTTAACAAAATTTATTCTTCAGTAGAAGGGGGCAGAGAACACTAGATTCTTATTCAAGCATTCTATCGAGCTCTGCATTCATGGCTGTGTCTAAAGGGCATGTCAGCCTTTGATTCTCTCTGAGAGGTAATTATCCTTTTCCTGTCACGGAACAACAAATGATAGCTAACTACAGAGGCACATTTGCAGTAGTCACATTCATCAACTGCAGGAAAAAAAATTCAATTTAATTGTGCAACACAGCTGCACATGGGCTTTTGAGCATTTCTGTTGTTCTCCCTGTCTCGCTATTCCTCCCTCCAGATCTATTTTTTAAACTTTTTTTTCTGGTTATTTTTTCCCCTTTTTGTCTCTTCTTCCATTTTTACTCTCTGTACTTTCTTGTTAAAGTAATTTTCCTTTGTGGCTCTCATTCTTTTTTCCCCATTGAAGGCTATGAATGTAGAAAATTATCACAATTACTCATATAATTGAGCCTCTTTGTAGCAAGTGCAACTCCAGTAGCCTTTCTCCATCATGAAAATGGTTTCATTATAGGGTTTTTCATATTCTCTGACACCATCTACACAGAGGAACAGGCGTGCAGATGAGATGTGCTAGGAACAGGCTAGATCAGTAAGGTCACAGTAGGAATAATTAGCTCTGCTATGGAAAGAGCATCTAGGCCTTTTACTGCTACATAAATGTACTGTCCGTGGCTTTTAGTCACAAAAAAACTTACTAACAAATGGAGCTCCCGCCTACTACTTTGAAAAAAAGATTTGTATCAACACTACAATTTTCCATCATTAAGACTAATAACACAGAGCCTAGTATACATCAAGGGGAATAAAAAGAAAAATCTCACATTCAAGTGGCGGCTGGGTGCTGACCTTTGTTCCCTTTTTTTGTGTACGACTTAACTCTTTACAAAAAAGAGCCACACGCCACACCAACACGCAGGTGAGCTCCAGCTAGTGCTAGCAAAGCATAGCATTCAGTCGGAAAATCTGATAAATCTCCATGCAGGATAATGCATTTCATTACATATTCACTACATTAATTCTAGCTACATTAAAAAAAGAAGAAGAAGAAGAAGAGTAAAATTGAAAGTGACATTGGATTTTAGCTCTCTGGATGCAAAGGTCAGTTTTCCCAGAGTATGAACATGAGATGTACAGGCTCCTTTGAAAACCAGACCAGCCCCAACAGCTACACTTAGAAAACTATGTGAAAAATAATAGACAATGAACTTTTTCCTTGTACCCTGATACATTTCATTATTTAGATGGTTTCTGTCTGCCACCGGGGACTAACCAATGTTAAGGCGGTGTTTCTGGACATCTATTATTTTGCCTTTTCTTATTCAGGCAAAATCTCAAGGGAGTAAATAAACAAACAGTCTCCACCTTTAAGCCAAAAGTACTTGGAATCGTTACAGACCCAAGGTTTACAAACATCTTTCAACTCAGTCTCATTTATTTTAAGATATTCACCGTCTTTTGCATAGCCTCCTTCTACTGATACACTGCGAAAAGAACATTCAAGTTTCTTTTATTCGTAGTATGTTACCAAAAACCTAGTGATCTTCAGGGGCAAATTTTGAAATTCTCTGAAGCCTGGAAGGGTAGGAGGATATCTCTGAAGAAGTATTGGCTATAATAGTTTAATGAAAAGTTCTCTGTGTGCCCTTTTGCTTCATGAGGGATAGCTAGTGAACTTTAGATTGCAATGTTCTTATGCTCACCGTACCTCCATTTGCTTTAAATTATCTCTAAAGCTGTATATTCAGATTATCTCTAGATGATATGATCTGTACATGAGAATATTGTGAATGTGTAGATTCATGCATCCCAAATATGTGACAGTTCAATCAAAAATAATTTAAACTTACAGTTGTAAGTGTCATGATGAAAGTATCAGTAAATGGTTTTTAATGTTGAATTCATAAGTATATGTTTTGATATTAATTTAGAAGAATATAAAGCAGATTTTTAAAAATAATCTCTTTCTATTAGATTATGCACATTTAAACAATAAGTGGCTCAGGCAAAATAAGTCATTTTAATGTCATCTGTGATGGATTTTTCTTGACAGCTACTGTAAATTACAATTACACTGCTTCTCTCGGCACATGAAAGTAAGCACTGCAATAAATTATCTTTTATTTCAATCCATCATGTCTGCTTTTCGGAAACAGAAAACCTCGAATAAAAGTTCAGCACTATTGTAAGAAAAATACAGTAATTTGTGATCCAGCTTGAAACAAAAAAATGTACCACTCTTTTGGAAAACGGTTGTTGGCTTTCAAAAATATTACTAATTGTACTTAAATATTCCGTGTCATTAGAGGGAATCCTTGGACTCGTGCATTCCTTCGTTCAAAGACTACTGTTTAAAATAAAAGTCTGGAAAGACCGAACTTGGAAAATCAGGGGGCCATTTAATTAGAGATGTGACCGTGTGGAAATTAGTGCTCTTTATAGGATTCATGTAAAAATGGTGATAAAACTATTTCCATGTGCATTTTTATTTCTTGAGAAGAGTATGCACTTAAACATAGTACTCCTCTGCCCTCTTGGGGAATGTATTCTTAGTCACAAAATATACTTGAAATGTATTAAGAATTTTAATTTATCTACACAATACTTCAACTGAGGAAAACTACCTCATGAAAGGGAATTAAGTGGAAGAAAACCGTCACAAGATGAAATTCCTTAAGAGAGGAACCGTAACTGAAACGTGAACTGTAATAATAGGATGATTTCAAAGTAAGTTCAGAAACTACATTTGTACACCTTCTTCTTCCTCTCCCCTCTTCTTCCTCCCCAAATAGTCCCTATGAAGGACTTCAAATCATAAATGCGCTCAGGCTCATGGGTAAGTGTTGTACTGTCGGAGAGGATTTTTAGTTAGAGAAAATCGGAACAGAACAGCTAATACCAGGAGAATTCTTTTCTTCGGTAGGTTGCAGCAGAAAGAAGGCAGATCTCCTGAGTGGGAATGTCCAGGGCAAGAAGACCCTTGAGTCAGAAGGGGCCACGGCCCTGTGAGGCCTGGTGCTGGGGAGTGGCCGCTACGTTTCTTGGGCAGCCCTGCCCACCCAGCTGTTTCCATTTCCCACAACACACCAGTTAAGGGAAGCACACGTATGCTCCACCTTCCCGTGCTGCCACTTGCTTTCACGTTAGAGTGGAATTTGCTACGACAGGTCACTCGGATGGTCTCTTATGAAGTTAGATTTAAGCCCTAGAATCAGGGCAGATAATCTCGTGCTTCCCGTATATTCCAAAATAGTAGAAGGGGCATGGTTTTAAATAGGAAATAGGAACATTAGTGAGATTTGATCCCATTTAGTCCCAGTAAGTATGTGTTAAAAAGCTCACTACAAATCCAAAAGGGAAATACCCTGAAAAGCAGACAGAACTATATACTTAGCTCCTGGGAATCAAGCATTGAGATGGGTGCTCACCCAAGGAACTGAGCAAAATTTGTCCTGTGCTTTTCCTCTTTCCACCCGGCTGTGAAATCCTGACCTTTGCATTCATGACACATACATTCTGTGATCCTCCTATAACCGTAAGTTCCAGCAGGATCCAGGCAGTAAATTGTTGTAGGAGAATGCACTCAAATATCTTTAGCCACCTTGTAATTGCACGGCTTCTTTTATGAAGAGGAATGAGAGGTGTGATGGCGGAGGGACCCCAAGTGTTTTTTCAGAGTGGGCTTTCTTCCTCTCCTCTCATCAGAAATTAAAATGAAGATTGCCATTGTAACACACATTTAAGATGTAGCCGTGATGCCTGCCAATCAGTTAGATCCTAGGGTTGTTTTTTTTTTTTTAAGGAAAGAAAATAGGCGAACAATATTGAATGTTTTTAGAATCATTGAGGTTTGTTGGGACTGAAGTCACATAATTTACAGGTTTAAGTAGAACCCATTCTTGTAAAAAAAAAGTCTAGATCATTATTGTCTTATCTAATAATCTCTCTTCCACCCTCTATCCACTCTCCATTCTCAGTTTTTATTCAGAAATTATGTGGTACAGATAGAAGCACCTTGGAAAAGCTTTTATACCTCCTGCCCCAAGTGCAAAGACATACAGAAATAACTATAACCATAAAGTACAACTTTAAGAGATAAAAATGTTGACTTGTTATTCCGGTCATTGACACATGCATAGCTTACCTGTTTCTGCACTATCAGTTACATGGAAATTAAATCTGAATGAGGGGCTGTCCATCTGCTATTTATAGTGACATCCCGGTCTAAGGGAAGGTATCTTGCAGGTCTGGAGATTAAAGTTAAATGTGTTCAGAGATAAATGTATTGACATGAATGCTCTTAGAGATGCTGCCTTTGAGTTCATGTTCAACTAAACCTAGGGTCTACTGGAAACTCTAGTTTGGGATCTAAGAACTTTGACTTTGAATTTAAATAGTAGTCCTATAAAAACCGATCCATTGTTATGGTTAGGGTTAGGGCACTATGCCTCTCATCCTCATGAAAATATAAATTGTTCATCATTTATATTGGTATCTTTCTGGTGCTCCTAGAAATGAGTATGTTCACCTGATTTCAAAAACAACTTCTTAACTTTGTACATGAGGATTTTAGGGCTGGATTCTATATGCCAGACTTCATTTATATGGAATAGATGGAACCCAGTACATTTGCATGTAGAAAGAACTAATAAAGCTTTAAGAATTAGGAATCACAATACTAGCTTCTCTTAAACATCACGGTGATTAAAAAGCATTCTGTGTGCATTTTGTTAATGACATAAGTCTTGAGTGAAAATCCCAAATGATGACAAAATCTTGGAGTATTTCAGGAATATTGACAATGCAATTTGACCTTTTGTATGAGTGTGTCTGTTTCTAAAATGTATAATGTTTTGAAATAGGCCAGAATAAGGAAACTATAAAAGTAGGAGGTCACATTTCTAGATTGCATTTTTGTTTCTCTGTTCAGTTCCCAAATCAGTAGTAATTTGCACGGTCTTTTGTGAAACCTCATACAAACCAGGCAACTTTGTATGACCTGCATTCTATGCACGTGTGTCTTGGTTATGCATGTCGATCTATATATGTGTGCGTGCACACTCATTTGTTGTCCAAAAGTGGCCTTGTTTGAATGCTGTACTAAGGTAAATGAAGCAAACTACTGTTCAATACATACCTTTTTCTTCATTTATCCAAAGGGAGTCGTTGCATGCAATGGCAAAAATTTTAATTATTCCAGAATAATGAAAACATTGTTATTATCTGGCTCTAAATATAACTGATTTTTTCTCTTTCAGAGACCATTATAAAGTGACTTTACCTAAGAATGCATTAAAAACCTACCTAATTTAATTAAATATTTTTGTTTGGTCACTTTTAAAGCCATATAACTCATCAGAATGGTTTGCAAGTCTGTCCACATTTTGTGGGGCATGGGATAGGATCTTACTTTCATGGACATCCAGAAATTTGGCATCATGGTAAGGAAGTTAATTTGGGAACTATTTACTGTGTGGAATCAGAATAAGGCAGTTTTGCTCCTGATGTTCCTCTAACTTTGAATTCATATGATCATCCTTTTGTGTGTATGCATGTGTGTGCATGTGTGGGGGGGGGGGAGTTACTTAATTGTAACCAGCACATTACTATGTTACTGGATTAGAGCCCAGCAGTTTCAGTCTCCGAATAGGGTTTATTTTGCTTTTTGTCTTCCCCTGAAGGGTGATGGCTGGAAGGCACAAGGGATACTTGTCTAGAAAAAGTTACTAAAAACAAAATGCCACTGCATCATTGTCCCAGCAGTATGCACATATGACTGTTTTCTGTTTTTCCTTTTCTACCCCCTTCTCTAACCGCTGACTGTTGTGGTTAAACTTCATTACATCCTACACAGCGTTGACAGCTGATGTATTTAGCAGCATGTACTCTTTAGTGATTTCTAGATTATACCCACCCTTGTATTCCTTCCCCAGAACCTCCTGCTTTTCCCTGCCTGGGTGTGCACCCTACAATGAGAAGGCAAGGGTGGGCCAGAAGCAGTGGTTAGGGTAGGAGGCAGTTCTATAGAGTGCCCCCCAGGGGGGCTGCACACCTGGACAGGGACTGAAGGAAAGTTGGGCCTTGACCTGTGTGCTTGGGGTAGAAGCAGGCCCTAGAAGAAATACTGCCTAGAACCCATTCCCTGGAAGATCCTCATGGACCCAGCAGGTCAGAATTCCCTTTGCACCAAAGAGCCCCACCTGAGGCAGCTCAGGAGTGCAGAAAGAGTGTCTCAGGCGTGTGCCCCACCCTGCACCAACACTCGGAGTTATTTCAAGTCACCCCTGTCCTAGCCTCCTGCTTTAATCTGCACCCTAAGGGACTGCCTTCCCTTTGTATCAGTTCCCCAAGATGTCTTTTTCTTTGGGGTGGTGGGCAGGGCCTAGGACCCAGTGAAGCCAGGAGACCGGGAAGCAAGTGGCCAGGGGACTGTGGAGGTTGTCTAAAACCCACAACAGGTGTCTAAAAACACCCCGGCTGCCTCTGGTAGACCTTGGTGCACCCTTCCCAGGGGCCTTGACCCCAAGCAAAGAAAATGCAAAGGCTAAGGCTCAGAACCCCATTCCTTGGTGATGACCACTACCAGGTTCCTAGAAATCTCCATCCTTCTTCATACCCTAAAAGAAAAAAATTTTTTTTAAAAGACCAAGGTTTTTTTTGAGCAACCCTGCCCCTCTAATTCTGTTTCTCTCTTTCTCTCCATTTCTCACTCTCCCTACCCCGTATTTTTTGTTTTGCAGCAAATGACAGCGATCTACTCATGGAGGAGGGAATGGCGTTCACCATAGGTCAGTGCCCAAGCTCCCCTTCAGAGAGCTGTGGCTTCCTGGATGGAGGCAGCAGTGCTGGCCTAGGCCCTGCAGTCCCGCGAAGGAATAATAAAGCCAATCAGTGTAATGAAATAATTCAGATGCATAGCAAATCTGATTAAATAATATCCTTGAGCCCCATCTTCCTAAATCAGATACATACCGACACATTTAGGAGACGGCAGCCATCCAACTTCTAATTCTGTTACCAGCATAATGTGGTGTTTGTGGGTTTTTTTGTTTGTTTTGGTTTGGTTTTGGTGTTTTTTGGGTCTTATTTTGTTTTGGTGCCCCCCACCCCCACCCCGTAACACCCAGTAACTAGAAGTGATCATGTCCCTTGCTCCTTGTCGGCAAGTGATACGTACTGTCTGGCCGCCCATTCCTGGCTGATCATGTGATTGGTGTCACTACCAAATTCCAATCATCTAAGACCCTAACGGCATCATATGTCTGACTGTGGTACTTAATGGAGAAGCAATTAGCGTGAAATAAGAAAATTGTTATTTGCTGATTAATGAACATTTTAAGCATGTTTTAAAAATTCAAATATTTTTAAAAACTGACTGGTATTTATAAGAGGGACTGGTGTTTGGGTGGTTATTATCCACGGGGTCCTAATTAAGGCTTGATTAAAATAACCTTTTTTTTCTCAAAAAAATTACGAACTAGGCAACTTCATACATTTTTGAATGCGGTAGTGTTTGCTCTTCCTACTGTTTAGTTTGTAGTATACTATGTAAGCAACATCAATTATCAGCCCTTGTGAGATGACAACAGGAACCCGTGGGGGAAGCACTTGGGGGGAGGGGAGGAGGACCTTCTTATTCTCTTTTTTCATAATCAGCCGAAACAATATTTGACAAGAATCTGATTAGATCCCTGCAGTAAATATTTTCCCTCTTACAGAACCAATCATAACCGAGGGATGCCCTGAATTTAAAGTCCTGGAAGATGCCTGGACTGTGGTCTCCGTGGATAATCAAAGGTGTTTGCTTTCTCTGTCACTGCTTTTAAATGATATGGGAAGGGAAGGTTGGTCCGACGGCTCGCGCGTTCTGCTCTTCCCCGCCCCGCCGGCTCGTGCGCCTTCTGACCGCTGCGGTATGTGTTTCAGGTCCGCCCAGTTCGAGCACACAGTTCTCATCACGTCGGGGGGCGTGCAGATCCTGACCAAACTGCCCCAGGAGGCCTGAGGAGCCGCCCGAGGGTCGCAGAGGCCGGGCGCTTTTTTTCCTAAATTGCTGAAATCCAGCTGGAGAACTTTCAGAAGACACAGGCGAACCGGAGATCACGCAGTAACCAACCTAGCTTATAGGCTTGGAAAAACCCGGTGGGGATTGGGGGCAGTTGGGAACTCAGATCTCAAGCCCTGCCTTGGCTGCACGGCTTCGGAGAAACCGCAGCTCGGCTTCCCACCGCGGGAAACGATTATGGGCGGGGGGGGGGGGGGGGTGGGGGGGGGGCGGGACGGGGAATGGGGACGCTCTTGTTTGTAAGATGAGGGATTTCTAGAGATGCATGGTTTTCTCTTTTCCTTGTCTTGACTGCGCAAGTAAAAAGCTTTCCCCTCCTAAGCCCATTGTGTCTGTGGTCCTTGGTCTCCGACAGTTACTAGAGGGAGAGGGTAGATGGTTAATTTTTGATTTTCTGAACTTTTCACATGGGCGCGTGGGGGAAAGAATGAGGCTAGATGTTAGCTGGGAATTTTTTTTAAAGTCTCTTCTTTCCCCCTTGTGGATCCCACATTGGCACCAGCCCTTCCAGTTCCTTTCCCTTCATAGCTGCTTTGTGATGAAAAGATTAGCCCACAAACGGTGGGGTTGGTTACAAATATTTCCTTGCCTGTGAACCCTGGGTCTGGCCTCTACAGTGGCCTCTACACAAACAGAACCTTCCTGGTCCCCTGTGGCTCCTCCTCACACCCCTCATCCTGCCCCAAGCGGCCATTCCTGAGGTTACTTTTGAGGGACCCTCTCACCCCTCCATCACACACACACACACACACACACACACACACACACGACTGTCTGTTGCACTAGAAATTAGAACATTGGCCCCACCAGTCCAGGTGTGAACAGTGTCCAGCTGGTCTAGCTCCTAAGCTGACCTCTCCCCATATTGGCCCCCTTTGAACTGCGCTCTCCTGCTGGAGACCCAGAGGATTCTAGCAGGGGAAGATATGGAAACTTCAGAGGGCAAGAGCCAAGTTAGCTGGGATTGGAACTGGCAAGCCTGCAGCTCCACCTGCTTCGGAAGCAGAAAATCCAAGCACCCACATTCTGCATTTCCCAAAGGCCCATTTCTGATCAGAATACCCTCCCTTCCTCAGTACGCACTACCCACTCCCCCCCCCCCCAGCACCTGTTCACACCTGGTCTCAGGTGAAGAGGTGCTGGGTGTCTAGTAGGCCACCTAGAGAATAGCCCCCCTCTGATTATAGTTTTAGGAACAAGTTTGGTGAGGGTGTCCCGGCAGCCAGGGGTTGCGCTAACTTTTGTTTCTACTGAAGCGGGTTTTGCAAAGTTGGGGCCCACTAAATATAGCTTGGGCTGGAGCGCACCAAGGAAATGCAAGCACCTGTAGTTGCCATGACAGGTGGTCTCTGTGATCAGGACCCAGGAGACACTCTGTGTCTTTGTGACACAGAGTGTTGGGAGAAGAGATAGGAAACAGGTCAATAAGTACACTTGGAAAAGTGGCTAGTTCAAGCTTTTCCCAGAACTCAGATTCTCCTGGGCACCCTCCATCCCTTACAGCTCCCTTTCTCTGCACGCAGGGATGGAGAATTTGGACAGAGGTGATTCCAATTCAAGTGGATCTGAGAGCTGGAAAAGGCGAGGGAGGGGTTGAAGATTTACAAGGACCATAGAAAAACTTTTCGGGGTGCTTGAGACATTGGCCAAGCAAAGGCCTAGAGACTGAGACTACTGCTCCTGAACAACCCGATTCTCTGGGAAGGAACCTGGCCCAGATGGCCTTGGGAGAGAAGTGCCTTGGGAGAGCTTTGCCAGATAATGATTTCACTTCTCTCCTAGAGCAGTCAGATTGCAACATTAGCCACTTATCTTATCTACGGATCAGTTTACTCCAAGTTCCCCAGGAATAATTTTATTAGGACCACAGGATTTTACCAACCACTGGGATAACATGCTGTTTGTGCAGCAATTATTCTGAGGTGGAAGTACTTATGGGACAGGTTTATAATCCTATTTATTAAAGTAACTAGTTTAAGCCTAGTTTAAACATTATACACACACATATATATGCATATATACCAGCACCAGCCAATATCAGCAGCTCCGTAGGAAACAAACTTGATTTAGAACGAACTCCGTTTAACATGCTTTGAAGTTGAAATTAGAAAGCAGATTTTAAAAATACCGTGTGCACCACCACCACCACGACCACCACCTTCCAGCTGAACTGGCCCCACACCTCACCCGGGGCCGCCGGGACTCCAGCCCACGCGTGGCTACTGCTAACACCACCGGACTCGGGTCGTGCGGTGTGTCCCACAGGTTCTACTCGGAATCCGGGACTCTCAGGATAAATGTGAGGGTTGGGACAAGCAAAGATCTAAGCAAACCAACGTTTCAGAACAGGTGTCGTCTTAGCAGTGGGGTGGGGGTGGGTGCGAGGGATCCACTCCCGGCTCACAGAATGGAGATGAGATCGCACGCTGCGAAGCTACTCAAGGCCCGGTGTCTCAGCGCCCGAGGGCCCCGGCTCAGCCGCCCCTCCCCGGACCTGCTTCTCTGGGGCTAAGAAATAATTCCCGAGTGTAGACACTCCCTCGCCCACATATAATGCATTTCTAAAATAAACAAGGCTCTGAAACCGTTTCCTGAGAGGGCGCGTGCGGGTCCTTTGTCCCACGGAGCCAGCCTGGTCCCCTGCGCTGGAAAGGCTTGGATTCCCCCTTCCAGATGTGGACAGAGCCCTGTAGACGGTCGCGACCCGTCGCCGCCTCTCTCCCCTTCCCCCACCTTACAGTTCTCTGGAATAAACTGGCCCATGGGCCGCCCAGCCGTCGGGTTTCCTCGCGTACAGCCCTGAGCGCCAGAAGTCAACAGCCACTTCCCTCGGCCCCAAGCCCGACCCGGCGCCAGCCGCGGCGATCACTTACGTGGGCAGGGCCCGCCAGAGGTGCGCGCAAGAGACCAGGGGCCCGGGCGGCATCCATGCGACTCTGGGCGCACCGCACCGCACCGCACTCCACACCCCGCAACAGGCGCTGGGAAGGAGCAGTTAAAACCACAAGTGCAACACGGAAATCAAGAGGAGTCGAGCGGCTCCGGGGCTAGTCTGGTGGCGGAGTCATTAGCTGGTTGTTGCTACAAAGCATCACCCTGTGGTTCGGTGATTAAGGAAAAAAAATCTTTTTAAACGTTGGCAAGCCAGTTATTGGTTTGAATGATTTTTTTGTTTTGTTTTGCTTTTGTTTTTCCTTTTGCTCCAACCACGCTGCCTGAAATATTGCTACCCCCGACATCACGCCCTTAAACCAAAGGAGAGGAATTCCGCGGGCAGCAGCTGCGGCTACAGAAGTTAAAAAAGAGAGAAGCCCCTTCCACTAATATCTCTAACGACAGCACCGATGTAATTTGTTTTGAATGTTCATTTTTATTGGTGTTCCCTCTGCCAAAATGTGCTTGATTACAGAGGTTTGTCCTGTGATCAGTGCGCACTCCAGACAGGGGAAGGTGCATCGCCGAAGGTTCAACTCAGGCCAGATCAAATCCCGGGCTGTTTAACGCTGAAAGGCTGCATGTTGCTATTAGTGTTAAATATATGGCTAATTATGCGTATGAAAATTAAACATCAGTGTTATGCTAATGGGGCGCCTTCAGCTGCGGATCCGAGCACTTGAGACTACCATTTAATCAAATGAATCAGTAACTAATACATCTGCACGTGTGAACTTTCACAAGATCATTTCCCCGTTCCCATCACACCGCTAAATTATGAAAGAAATAATTATCAACACTTTCTAATTACCTAACAAAGTAATTTGGGATTCACCGTGGGGCTGGCGGGATGGGGAACCAACAGCCCCTCGCAGACAGCGTGGTGCGCGCCACGCCTCGTGGGGGTGGCTGTGTCGTGGCGGCGGCGGGGGGCTTTTGTGCGCTTTTCTGTACCTAGCGCCCCAGAAGATAGAAGGCGCCGTGGCAGCTTTTGCCAGCCCTGCCCCCAGGCCCAGTGGAGCCCGCTTTGGCCACTGGAGATGAGGAGGATCCTGGGCGACAATGAGAGACAAGTCTGTAACCAGATCTGCGAGCCTACCACCGGCCTGGCTTTGCCGCGGGTTTCGGTGGCCCGCAGGACTCCCAAACCCGGGGTACTCTTGCCAGACCCAGGAGGCCGGAAAATGACCCCCTGGTATCCGAGGCTCAAGCCGAACTGAGCCCGCCGGCCCCTCGGCTCCACTCTGCGCCGCGCCCTTGGGGCGAGTGAGCCCAGGGCGTTCGGCGCAGAGGGAGTGGAGGGGAGGGGAGGCGGAGGAAGGTTGGGAGGGAAAGAGGGGGTGTGTGTTCGGGGGAGGGGGCGGTGCGGCCGCCTTTCCTGGGAGGAGAAGCGCGGGTTCCTGGCTCTTCGCGCGCTCTGCTTTAATCAGACCGGTGCAGCCTCGAGCTGGAGTGGCCAGCTGGGCCTGGAGCAATGCGAGCGGGCCCCAGGGAGCGGCGGCGGCGGCGCGGCGGCCGAGTGAGTGAGTTCGCCTGGAGGGCCCCAAACCCGACCCCAGGGATGTGGCAGAGCGGACCCAGGCCAGGGAGGCGCCGCCAAGGAGAGCGCTGCGCTAGGCACACGACTCCCGGGAGGACAGCGCCTTGTTGGCCGCCTCTGGTGCCCCCCGCCCCGCACCCCGCAGTGCGCGACTTTGCGCTCCGAGGCCGCGGCCGGGGCTCCGGAGCCGCGTTAGCTGAGCGCCGGACCGGGTGACTGCGGCTAGGAGAAGCGGTGCCCCTGTCCCGGTGTTGGGGGCGGGCGGAGGGTGGGGACAGTAGTGGGGGGAGGGCGGCTGCGCCGAGCCGCTGGTGGGTTTCTGGGAAGTAAGGCGCGCCGGGGAGGCGGGAGGCTGAAGAGCCACGGGCCGCGGAGGTCCCGGCGCGGGCGCTGCAGCCCATTGTGCGCTCCACACCGCGCGCTCTGTTGCAGAGGAGCCCCGGCCGGGAAGTGTGGACGCGTTTCTCCCGAGGCCGGGCCGCCTCGCCCGCTCTAGTCCAGCGGAGCCGGAGCGCCTCGGACCAATCCCCGGTGATTATGCAAGACAGCGGACCAATCAGCTCCGCCAGCTCATGAATATTTATGACCTTGGCTGAGTCAAAGCTTTGAAGCGAGTTTGGGGAGCTCGGCAGCATCATGCTTAGACTTTTCAAAGAGACAAACTCCATTTTCTTATGAATGGAAAGTGAAAACCCCTGTTCCGCTTAAATTGGGTTCCTTCCTGTCCTGAGAAACACAGAGACCCCCAAAAGGGAAGCAGAGGAGAGAGAGAGACCCACACCCAGACCCCGCGAGAAGAGATGACCATGACCACCATGCCAGAAAGTCTCAACAGCCCCGTGTCGGGCAAGGCGGTGTTTATGGAGTTTGGGCCACCCAACCAGCAAATGTCTCCTTCTCCCATGTCCCACGGGCACTACTCCATGCACTGTTTACACTCGGCGGGCCATTCGCAGCCCGATGGCGCCTACAGCTCGGCCTCGTCTTTCTCCCGACCGCTGGGCTACCCCTACGTCAACTCGGTCAGCAGCCACGCGTCCAGCCCCTACATCAGTTCGGTGCAGTCCTACCCGGGCAGCGCCAGCCTCGCCCAGAGCCGCCTGGAGGACCCAGGTACGTGCGCCTGCCAGGGAGAGGGAGAGGAAAGGGTACGAAGGGAGAGAGGGACAGAAGGAGGGAGGAAGGGAGGGAGGAAGGGGGGGAGGAAGGGAGAGAGAGGAGGGAGAGGGGGAGAGAGAGGTGGGGGTGGGGAGGACGCCGGAGCAATGGAGGTTTCGGGTATCAATCTATGTATGGATCCTTGTCATAGCAAAGAAAAAAAATTTTTTTTTAATTCCACCCAACTCGCAACTATCCAGCAAAGGATAAATCCGAGAGCGTCCCCTGGCACTGTCTGGGCCTCTGGGCGGCTCTGTGCGCCGAGCACACAATGCCCCTTTGGAAAACAGAAACCCACATGTGCACGTATTAGTCTCAGTAATTATTTATTGCGTAGCGCTATAAACAATGTATGCAATTAAGGGTAATTAAACCTCAACTACCGCCTGCAAAAATAGCAAACTTTCTCTGCAAAGGCAGGAACTGCACGCCTGGGAACTGCCCCAGTCCGCCTGCAGCGGCCCGGTCCGGCCCTCGGACTTTACGGGACACTTCCCTGGCTTTCGGAGTTTCTTGCGCGTTCTCTCTCGGCCCAGCCTCTGTCACCCCTCAGTTGCCACTCGCCCTCGGCTCCCCGCACTAAAGGCTGTCCCTGCATTAACAGCAGTCCCCCGCTTCTGCTGTCCCTCCAGGGGCTGACTCCGAGAAGAGCACGGTGGTGGAAGGCGGTGAAGTGCGCTTCAATGGCAAGGGGAAAAAGATCCGCAAACCCAGGACGATTTATTCCAGTTTGCAGTTGCAGGCTTTGAACCGGAGGTTCCAGCAAACTCAGTACCTAGCTCTGCCCGAGAGGGCGGAGCTCGCGGCCTCCTTGGGACTCACGCAGACGCAGGTACCTTGCCGCTGCCCCTCTGCCAAGCGGGCTTCCCGCGGCCGGCCTGCGCCCGGAGCTTCATTTCTCGCTCTCTGGGCCTCAGGGTCGGAGACTGTGTGTGTGTGTGTGTGTGTGTGTGTGTGTGTGTGTGTGTGTGTGTGTGTGTGTGTGTGTGTGTGTGTGTCCGTCCGTCCCACCCCTGGCTCTCCCTGCGTCTCTCTCCTTCCTCCCTAGTTCTCTCTGCCCTGGCTCTGTCGCTGCACTCTGTACTCCGCGCTGCCTGCCGCCCGGCCCTCACTCCCTGGACAATCTGATTAGGGCGCGGAAGGATTTCCCTAGACGTTTTGTTTGGGGACTCTGAGGTCACACGTGCCCGAACAACTGGAACAATAGACGCTGGGCTTAATCCCTTCTTTGCCTTTGAAGTGTGTGGCTAATCACTCAGGGCCTGGGCCGGAGCCTCAGTCTCCCTCCTCCTCCTTCTCACCGGGTTGGGGTAAGGCGAAGTCATTTCCTCCGCCTTCTCGCCTCCCCAGTCCCAGACCCTGGAGGAGGATTGCTCTAAGACTCTGGGGGAGCCCATGGGCTTTCTGATCACGACTGGCGCAGGTTTCCAACGTCTGGGCCCGTATTTGGAGCAGAGCTGGGGAGAGCAAACAGACACTAAGGAAAGGTTGATGTAAGTCCAAATGAAAAGTTTAACGAAACATTTTGGCCTCCTCAGTCAGCCCCCAACTCAAGGGCAGAAAGGATGGAGCAAAGAGAAAGCAGGTGGCATTGCAAATAAATTTCCTCCACTCCTTTCCTCCACTCGGTTCTTTTATTGATGTTCACATTGGACTTGAAGACTCGATGTTGTGCAGGCGCTGCTTCTTCCCCCAGACGATTGCCAGGGTCGCGCTGAGTCCCTGACAAGCGAAGGCCTGGATCCCCCTTAACTCCTCACCACCACGCCCCCTTGGCTCTCTGAGAGCTGGCCCCTGCGGGCCACCGGCGGCCGGCAGCCTGGCCTCTGAGGCTTTGGTTCTTACAGGTGGTGGTGGGGCTCTGTTCCTCCAGCAGGGAGCTGCCCAGTCGCGCAGGGCGGCGAGGGGGATCCTTTCTCCCCTGTCCCACGGCCCCCTTACCTCCCCGACGACCATGGTAGGCACTATGGACCTAGCCGAGTCACATTATTGTCCGCTCTTGCAGGTCAAGATCTGGTTCCAGAACAAGCGTTCCAAGTTCAAGAAACTGATGAAGCAGGGCGGGGCGGCTCTGGAGGGTAGCGCGCTGGCCAACGGCCGGGCGCTGTCCGCGGGCTCCCCGCCAGTGCCGCCCGGCTGGAACCCCAACTCCTCATCTGGGAAGGGCTCGGGCGGCAGCGCGGGTTCCTACATCCCCAGCTACACGTCGTGGTACCCCTCGGCGCACCAAGAAGCTATGCAGCAACCCCAACTCATGTGAGGTTGCCCGCCCGCACCCTCCCGCCTCCTTCCCGTCTCCCCCCCGGCCCGGGCCCCTCCCGCCTCCCGGTCCAACCACCCTGTCCGCAAGCCCTGGGCCTGGAGAGGGGCCCAGGGGCAAAGAAGAAGGAACAGCGAAGGCAGGACGCCCGCCACCTCCTTGGAGTCCCGCGCGGTCTGGACCGGCGACTTCCCGGCGCCCACGCCCTCGCCCTCGCCCCGGCCTAGGCCGCGCGGTGACAGCAGACAGCGGCCTCCGAACGCAGGCACAAGCTCCCGAGGCAGCCAGAGCAGCAAGACGAGCCAGCCGGACCCGACTCGCCGACCCTCAGCTACGTGGGACTATCAGGAAAAAACAAAACAAAACAAAACAAACAAACAAAAAACACCCACAAAAAAAACAATGTAGAAAAAGCAAAAGCTTTTTTTTTTCTGTTCTGTCTGTCTCTTGTCTCCTTTCGCTCTGTATCTGTGCGCTGACGAAGTCGAGGTCCTCGTCTGTCCGCTGTCCTCGTTCTGCGGCCTCTGAAAAAAGTCACCAGGTCGGAAGAGGCTCGGGCCGCCGGCCGCCCAGTTCCACATGCTGGGACGTTTTGTCCTTTCGGACCTTCTCCTGGGCCTGCCTAACCATCTGGGTAGCTCGTTCGGGAATTGGGGGAAATTGGAGGGAGGGGGTTTTATTTATTGAGAAATGGACTTCGCCTGAGGGTGAATGTTGGCCAATTCGCAGTTCTGTGGGGCGCGAGGAGCGCATGGTCCAAAAGTACCGATTATTTCAAACGCACTCGGAAAAACGAATAAGGAGGACCCGGTGATTTTTAACGTATACAGTAACTTTTGTACTTCGCTGGTATGGAGAGGTTGGAACCTAATGCTTTGCATTTTTACATGTTCCACATTATTTTTAAAAGGAAAAAAAAAAGAGAGAGAGAAATGAAGCCAACATAATATTCTCATCTCGGGGAAAAACACTTGGTCGCTTTGCCCAGACAAGAAGATCCCAATTCCCTCCTCCGGAGCTCGAGAGAGGACCGATGGGCAGTGAAGAAAAAACAGGCAGTCATAAACGAGTGCCCTAAAGCCGGTGAGCTTTAAAGACAGACAAAAGCAGCACTAATCCCCAGAGGCTCGACCACAGAATAACGCCAGGCAGCACCCTGGACGCCCAGTCTCCAGTGCAGGATCTAATCGCTGTACATATTATTATTGTTGTTAATTATTATTGTTATTATTATTGTTCCGTAAACATGTTGCACAAGCTTAGCTTTTTTCCGTTCTGTTGTGTGTGGCTGTAAAACCTGATGCTTTGTGAAATGAGAATCTTGACATTTTACTTGTGAAATTTGGAAAATGTGATCAATTGAAATCAACCGTGTTTTGTGTTCTCTATGTCAAAGTTTAGTTTTATATTGAGAATGTTAACTTATTGCTTTGTATCTTGGAAAAAAAGAACTTTGTAAATAAGTTATAAAGTTTCTTTGAGACAGTAAAATTATGGTTTCGAGAAAGAACTGCTGTCTGATGTGCTGTGTGAGGGGGTGCTGTGGGCTGGGCCGGGCCTTCACCTCTGGGACAGATAACGCAGGCGTAGAGACTCCTGGCTCCGGACATACCAGAATAAAGGGGAAGGCCCTCCTGAGACGTTGGGACTGTTCATCTTGCTCTGCTTCTGGCCCCCAAGGGGTCTGATCCCTACCTGGGTTGGAAGGGTGGGCAGCGACTGTCTGGCAAGGGTCCTTGGGGGGTGGGGGATCAGGAACAGGTGCTGTGTGACAGAGCGGGGTCTCAGGAACCAAAGGGACTGTGAAGGCTGGCTGAGAGATGAAAGCAGAGCTCAAAGGCAGCCCGCATGGGAGACTTGAGTGCCATCCCACACCCAGTTACTTCTCCGGAAGCCTAGAAGACTGAAAGCAGAGACGCTAGGCTTTGCCCCCTCGCCATCGCGGCGGTCTGGCCTTCCGGCTTTTGCTGGCCCCTAGGGCGCTAGATCCCGACGAGGAAAAGATGCGGCCAGACACCGGAAAGGGGCCGAAGGACTCGTCTGTCGGGCTACACCCGGTCAATCAGTAAGCTACGGGGGACAGTCCTAAGGCGCCACCTGGGCCCCTCCACAGTCACCCTCACCCGTCGGGCCCATCCACAACGAGAAACCCCTTCCCTCCTAATGATCTCCAGCTTCTCTCCGTGCCTCAGATGGAAATGCCAAGGGAGGGGCTGGAGGGCTCCGCTGACTCCTTGGAACCCAGGAGCTGGCCGAGTCAAGACCCCCCCACCCTAGCCCGACAGTCCTGAGGCCAGGTCAGTAAGGGGGCACCTCCAGTGGAACGTTCCGATGAATTCTCTCCAGGAGAAAGTGGACTTCGAGCAACTAGAACCAGCCTGGCTCCCTCCACCCGGTGGCCCGGCGTCTCACCCCAACCTCAACCCCCGACCCCACCGCCGAGCCGAGGAAGCTCAGGGAAGCTGCGGGGCCCCGACGGGCTGCTTTGAGCGATTCCCGCTTCCCTCGCACTCGCCTTGCGACACTGCTTCCTGCGGGCTGGCCTTCCGCCTTTGGGGGGCCCTTTGCAGTGCGCGGTGGGGAGCAAAGCGGGGAAGGCAGTGATCTGTGTTGTGACAAGCACCCATTTTTCAATTGGTGCTGGTGAAAGAGCAGATGCTCCAGGCTCTTCTGACGCCCTTTGGGAAGGGGAGGGGAAGTGGTGGAGGGGCGGTGATGGAGGGAGCCGGGGAAATAGTGGGGGATGGAGCCGGGGACCTCGAGGCCCCATCAGGGCCTGGGATTGGGGCTTTTCCTCTCCTGCAGGTCTCCAGAACCCGGAACGCAAATGGGGGAGATCATTAGCAGGAGCGGACGGGCCTCAAAGCTGAGAGGGAACAGAATTTCCCAGGCTGGGTTCGGCAGCAGCCGGGGTAGGGACCTTCCGGGATTTGGTTTTCCCTGGAGACGTGACTTTGCTAGAGGGGAGGTTTTGGTGGGTTGCTCTTACACATCCAACTCCGGTGCGGCAGCCAGGGCCCAGTGCCTGAAGCCACAGGCAAAATCTGTTTGGTCAAGCGGATTTTAATATTTTGAGATATTAGCTTATACTAATTTAATAATCTCTTGCTAACAGTTCAAATAGAGAAATTATTAGTTTTAGCTCAACGAAGGCGGTCTTTAGTTAGGCTCTATTATAATTATAAGCGGTTGCACTTTTTAAAAATGTTAATCTCAATATAGGCCTAATTAATGCTGCCTTGTTACTGACAAGTAGTTCATCAAATATCTGATTCAAAGATTTTCATAATGAGTATATTAATTAAACTATGAATAATCTAAAGGTGGTTATATTTAAACAATACCTCATTATAATGATTAAATACTGATTTCGAATATTATGTCTTAACAATTGTCACTTAGAAAACACAACCTTTCCTTATGTATGAGTCTGTAATGGCAAAATGCAATTTTGGGATTTTTTCCCCCTTGTTCAAAAAATGTGAACCTCATTTTAAAACACTTCTGAAATAGGTTACACACAGCTTAATGATTATCAAAATGACTCTTTTCTGCAAAAAAAGACCCCAAAGTGCGCGTACAGCTGCAAACCCAAGAGGGTCAGCATCATTTCACTGTATTCTCTTCTTGATTACAAGCCGGGCCCATCAAACACAACATAATTACAGTAATTTCAGGTTTATTTATTCTAATGCAGTTTCCCCATCTCTCTGGTAATTATGAGCAATTTTTTCGCCCAGGGAATCTTTTTGCATTAACAAAAGAGATAACGCACTGAAAGCCAAATTTGCTGTGCATTGAGAAAAGGGGGGAAAAAAAATCAAATAGGTGCGAGCTGCCATCTCTGCAATTCTCCGGTACCGAAGCCGGCAAATTGCTTGCAGGTGTATGGAGCAAGCTTGTCAATGGCCAGGCCTCCAAATTAGCAAATGCACAGCGTCGAAGTAGTGAAGACAGACTTAGCAAAATTGCCAAACAACAGATACCTCTTTAATATCTTCTCTCACACTAGCTCTAAAAGGGGCAGGGGTGGGGGGTGTAGGGGCACAAGCAATAATCCCCAGCCCCCTTCTCACTGGTCTTGGCTTTCATAAGCCTGGGACTGAGTGGTCCTGCAAGTGGTAGTCTAGTTGTGCAAGAACCCAGCTACTAAATCTAGGCAATATTTTAAAAATATGAGATTGGAAACATGTTTATAGTTCACAGCTTTCCTTCATTGATTATTATGTTTTATATTTCTTTCTTTCTTTTTGGGATCCAAACCTGGGCTGGGTCAGATGGCTCTTCAGCCTTCCCTGTTCTTTGCTAGTTTTAAGAGCTGCAAAAAGTTTAAAAATTCCTCTATCTATATGCACAGAAATACGAATTTATTCTTAGAATCATTTGATGGAGATATTAACTAAATCGCTCCTCTTGAAGAAATTGTCCATTTCTGTCACCAATGGAAAGGTAGGTCTGGGTGCTGGATATAGAACCTGAGATACTTGATCCCAAGAAAAACTGAGAGGAAAGAAGCAACCCAGGTCCCCAGCTATACATTTTTTTATCCTGTTATCCATCTCCTTCGTTCTGTATCTTTTAAAAACCGATTTCAGAATTCTCTGGGTTTTGTCAAGCCACCGCCTGGGTTAAACATCCTGAAATCACAGGCTAAAGCGAACTTTTCTGTTCCTCATCCCGCACAAGCCAAAGGCACCTCCATCAAATGCAGTATGGAGGGTAAGGGTCTGTCCCTCCCATGACTCAAAGAAACCCTCCTTCAGTCCCCAGCTCCACAGCAGACCCAACTCGTGTAGACAGGCAAACGGCTCTAAAGGGTGCCTTCCCCAGGCTCAAGAAACCTGTCACCCACACCCACTCCTTTGCTACCCCCGCCCTCATCCCCCAACCTTCAGGGATTAACACTTCCTGAAACATCAAGTGTTTTTATAAAAAGGAAAAAAAATAATCCTGACATCGCTGACAAGAAGTTTTGATGGAAGAATTAGCTGGTGCATACATAATCACTCCCCCACCCTCCTACTCCCGGAGCGGGAGCCACCACGGCGGGCGCAGCTCAGCCTTCCAACCCTCTGAAAAATGAAACCAGTTTCCACCCTTACCTTCTTCAGTGTCAATTTCAGATAATCTGGACACAATCTTTGCTAGATCAAATCAAAAGGGTCGAAGGCGGCATTTGGCTGGGAGAATGACCGGAAAGAAAAGGCAAAAAAGGGGGGGGGGAAGGAGGAAAAAAAAAAGAAAAGAAAAATAGGAAATACAAAACCGACCAAACCAGATCAAAACAAAACCAGAAAACCAAAAAGAATCCCCCAGCCCCATCCTCCTATCCTGAGAGTAAAGAGTGGAAAGAGGTCTCCAGGACCAGGCGCCTCCGAGCGCCGCAGGCTTTTTGCAGCGCTGCGCTTGCAGAATAGGACTGAAATTTTCGGCTATATAGCCTCTGTCTTTATAGCTGATGAAAAAAATTGCAGATTATTAGCATAAATGTTTACTCTTCATTACGCTGATGACATTGTGCACTCGAGATCTTGGTAATCTTTGGGAAAATTATGAGTAATTTTTAAAAATTTTAAAGCAGCAGCAGTTACCATGCAATTCAGGCTAATTCTGCGTAGGCTACGAACGGATATAATTATCGAGGAGTCAAGATGTTATGCTAAAAACTATGCATTGATATT